GATCCGGCTGCCCCTCCCCAGCCCCCGGAGCTGTGAGAACCAGGTGAAGAATCTCAAGCCAAGGGCCAACACGGCCCAGCGCAGATCTTTACCCCGCAGTCCCAAAAACGGCGGCAATTGGGACAGCTCGCCCTTCCTACCCGCCGCCATCCTTCACCCGTGTTCAAACCTCCGCCCCCGGGACTCCGCCACCCTCTGCAAGAGGCTCGAAGGAACTCGGTGTCCCACCGCCCAAGAGCTCAATTACCCCGGTCAATATTTGGTCACGGCTTTCACCATCTCAGCCAAGTGTAACCACGCACTTTAGATCAAGCACCCCTAAAGGCTTATCCGTACTTCACCGCCATCCCCTGCTCACTCCAGGCTCTTGCGACGCTCCAAGCACTCTGAAAAGCCGGTTTCATCGACAAATTTGAGGGAGCGAAAAACTGCCGCGGCAGGAACAGCAGCTAGTTCGGAAACAGCCCCGATGAGGGCCGTGAACCCCGTGAGGTCACAGGCAACGTAACGGGAACGGCGTCAGGCCGTTCGCAGGCTGCGATTCGCACGCTGCAGCGCGGGGAGCAGGGATCGCGCAGAAAAAAAACCCACCACACAAAGCCCCTGCGAGGGCATTGGCTCGAGGGCTTCGTCAAGTGCAGCTTGCAGCATAAGCAAATAGCTGATACGCTCGGAAAATGGTGCGACACTCCACTCGTGCCAGATCCGAACCAGGAACAGGTTTTTGTTGCGGTCACCACCCACCTCCGGGCACGCATCAGCCTGGGGTACGCTCCAGAAGGAAGCTATGTAGGACACCGAGAACACTGATCACAAACGCGCGCTAATTACGCAGGGGAACAAAATGCAGGAGGACACCAGCGGTCTCGGGTAAACAGAGGTATTTGACTCGGGTAGAGAGAGGTATTTGAGATTCAGGGCAGTGTCGCCTCGTGTTTACCGACAGCCGAGGGAACGGGTCAGTGATGCAGGAGACGCCGGGGTGGGGCTCTCCCAGAGCAGTCAGCTCTGCCCACCTAGTACCAGGCTACAGCGGGAGGGAGGGAGGGAGCGAGGGAGGGAGAGAGGGACCCCTTTACTGAAAGGAAGCCCCCAAAGTTTCCTGGGCGCTCTCTTTCGCATGGGCCACGCTGTCACAGAACACAAGAGCCCCTCAGTGGTGTCACAGGGTTTATTAGTCCTTGGTAGATGCAGTTTAGATGATTCCAATCTGGAAAGAAGCAAAGCACGTTAAAACAGACGTTACGGAGGGAGAAAGGCAGAGCCTCCACCGCAGACATCACTGCCAGGGCTGCAGCTCCCCGGGATTCCTCTCCTCCAAGGACAGGCTTCTTCCCCCCAGACCTGCCCGAGTGCCTTACACGAACTGCTTTAAACATTTACTCCGCGGTGACCCCTGTGCTAACCCACAGCCCCGTTCCCCTGCTCCAATACGTACCCACCACCGCCTCCCGTCGACCTCAACCACGCCGCGGACTAAACCGCCTGGCTGCTTCCAGCCACCTGCGTGGCAGAAACCCCTCCTTCACCCAGGCCGGCAGCGCAGCAGTGCCCCTGCCCTAACGGTGCCCCTGGCGCCATTGCCCCCTGTTAAGTGAGCCGCCAACAGCGCTGGCCAAGAACGCTGTCAGGATGAACGCCGTGTCAACCCAGAAGCTGCAGGGCAGTTTCTGCATCCTCCCCACTAATGCTCTGGAGCTCTTGTAGTCCTGTGGAGTGGAGCCCCTCCCTGGAGGAGCTGAAGAACAGCAGCAATTCTCTCTCAGTAGCTTTTCCCACCTAACCTCACGATCTTCCAGGCAGAATTGCGTTTTGCTAGACAATGTGGTCTTGCCTCTGAACACTCAGACCCCGTCTGACTTCAGGGACACTCCACAGAAGTGCCGCCACGCTTGAAGCGCAAGTACCTCATCACCTGTACGCCAGGAAGAACAACCGGGCGCAAGAGATACAAGACAACAGGAGCTGCAAAGCTTCAAAGATTTCTCACCTTGTTGGCTACATCCAGCGCATCATAATCCGGAGCCAGTCGGACGTAAGCCTTCTTCTCCCCATCAGGCCTAGAGAGGAACAGGAGGCATCAGTGCAAAGGCACACAACTCCTCCCACCCGCTCCACGTTCCTGCTATAGCAGTGTGCATCAGTGGTTCCTTTGGAAACATCACTTTACTCAGTGGTAAAACACGTTCACATCACTTGCACAAGGCTCCCCGGGTGTTAGAAGAGCTCCCCGATGAAGCCGCCCCTCTGGTCTGCCAACATTTCCCACTTCCACTAAGATGTGCTCAGTCACAAGTTGCATTTCTCAAAACTTTAACACTGAAAACCCTACGGAGCTTCATCCCACACCTCCTGAGAGCACCCACAACTGCTGACACTCACACACGTTCCTGTTTTCTGCTAAAAGCCACTGCGGGCTCTTGCAGCATCTCACACCCACCAGTGACCTCTTCTCCCCCTCTTCTCACCTAATCAATGTGTTGACCTTGGCCACATCGATATCATACAGCTTCTTGACAGCCTGTTTGATCTGGTGCTTGTTTGCCTTGACATCGACGATGAACACCAGAGTATTGTTATCCTCTATCTTCTTCATTGCCGACTCTGTGGTCAAAGGGAACTTGATAATGGCGTAATGGTCCAGCCTGCAGGGGAGAGACACCGTGGTTAAAGGCCGGCAGACGCCATCGATGCACTTCAGGGGCTTTCGAATACCACGGGTACCATCTAAGGAAGTCCGGGGTGCATCAGTAGCCAGAAAAGTTCTAATCACAAACTCTCAGGCTTTGGTCGCTTGAAATCATCACCTGCACCCCAAACACACACACACACATCCCCCAGCGCTCTGCCACCAAGGTGTGGGCTCCGCTCCCAGGGCAGCACCCTGGCAAGGTCTCACCCTGGGACCTGCAGCGGGGCACAGGTCCCCAACGCCAGCCCACGTGCAGGGCTGCTCCCACCCCGCAAGTCCTGCAGCAGGGCAG